CACAAAGCCTGGCTGTTTTTTGTTGCAGTTTGGCCGGGGCTGGGTTTGAACCTGCCACTCTTGGTATATGGGGCCAGTGCCCTACTCACTGAGCCACAGGCGCCGCCCCATATATTTTTGTTAGTGAAAAAATTGAGATACAAATATTTAGAAAACATTTCTGGTGTTTTACTGTATGCTGGGTGTTATGCTACTGTTGATTCCCATCACACAAAGACTACCAGGAATACATCTATTCTCAGACAAAGTTGAGTTTACTGTTGTGTTGTAATGAGGAAGAAGATACACGCTGATAAACCCTGGGGCATCTCAGTAGGAAGACATCTCATATAATGATTTTGTTTTGTCATTCCAAAGGACAGGTTTCCATTCCAAGGACAGGCTTTAAAATTTTCTTTTCTGGGTGTTGGACACCAGTGAATTAAGATTTGAGTAGTTAGTATCAGAAAGGTATTTGAGCTGGGCAGGCCCACTTTCAGGTAAAATATTAATATAAGACTTCTAACTACTCAGATTGAGGACTGATACGTTTCCATCTTGTTCTACATCAGAACTTGTAAGTGTGGCACATCTTTGGCTCATGAATTTTGACTAACTCTCATTCCGAATAGAACATTTCTCAGGGCAAATTTCATGTCCTTATTACGAAGACTGTAGATCAGGGGATTAAAGAGAGGAGTCATAACCGAATATACCAACGTGAGAATCTTCTGCATCAAAGTTGGGATGCCGTATGTAGGGCTCACATACATTACCATGACTGTCCCATAGAAGAGAGACACCACAACCAGATGAGAACCACAGGTAGAGAAGGCCTTTTGCCGGCCAGCTGCAGAAGGGACCCGAAAAACAGCTCTGAGTAACAGGGTATAGGATCGAAGAATGTATGTAAGAGTGAAAAAGAGGACAAGGGAGCTCTGAGTATAAAAGATCAATTCAGTAATAGGAGCTGGGGCACAGGATAGAGCCATCAGTGGGTCCATGTCACATAGGAAGTGATCAATGATATTAGGGCCACAGAAGGGTAGTTGGGAGATGAAGAAAATGGGGATTGGGTATCCAAGGAATCCAGTGAGCCAACAGAAAGACACTAGCATGCCACAGAGCCTTCCGGTCATGATGGCAGGGTAGTGCAGTGGGCGGCAGATTGCCAGGTACCGATCATAAGCCATCACTGCTAGGAAGAGACATTCAGTTGTGCCCAGTGAAAAGAAGAAATAGAACTGGAGAAAACACCCAGAAAATGAGATGGCCTTGGTCTGGGAGAGAATGTTGGCGAGCATGTTAGGAACAGTGGAAGAAACATACCAGATCTCAAGGAAGGCAAAGTTTCCCAGCAGAAAGTACATGGGAGTGTGTAGTCGTGGGTCACGTCTCACTGCACAGATGATGGCCCCATTTCCCAGCAAGGTCAAGACATAAACCACCAAAAACAACGAGAAGAGGAAAATCTGTATCTTCCTGCAACCAGGGAATCCGAGGAGAACAAATTCAGTCACCTGTGTTGCTGACCTGTTCATGGGTCTCCAATCTATGAAGAAGACAGACATAGAGTGTAACCCAAGTTTCTTTGCTTTTTACATATCTCAAGGACTTTATTGAGAAGAGAACTTGAACTATACAGAAAAATGCAGGATATTCTGAGAATAAATTCCAAATACCATATGTGGTTCTAAATCTCAATATATATATGTTTTTAATTTCAAATTAATAGGATACAAATTTTTAGGTTACATTGTTCTCACTTCCAGAGTAAAGTTCCAGTTGTAAAAGAGCCCCTTACCCAGGGGACGTGTTATACACCCTCCACAATGTGCACATTAGGTGAGATCCCACCTCATGCCTCCCTCCTTCTGCCAATGTTCCTCCCCCTCGAGCCCCCTC